GATTGTGTGATCTGTGGAAGGCTTCACCTGGGAGCTACTAAGCAATGCAGAAGCTTTGGTCCTGCTCCAGATCTAAGGACTTAGAATCTGCCTTTTAGCAGGACCCCTTGTACAGATGCATTTAAGTTTAAGAATCTAAACTTAAAAAAAAAAAGAATCTAAAGTTTCTTCCGTCCTCAGTGCCAGTCTTTGCTGAGCCTGCTTCAGATTGCTGGACATGAGCTCCCTCTTCTGGCTCAAAAGTTAAACACTTTCTTTAGGAAACATTTCTGTTCCATTTCCACCAGCTGGGGTTTTGTTTTGGTTTTTGCTTTTTGGTTTTGGTTTTGGTTTTGTTGTTTGTTTTTTTTAGGATTTCAAATGCAGCTTGAGGCTCCAGCACCTATATAGGGGCATAAGGTCTCCGAGAGCATGTGTATGGGGCCTTGAATCTCCTCCCAAGTATTGGAAAATCAAAAGACACCCACTGCCAGGAGCGAGGGGTGCCCTTTCTAACCTAAATGGCTCTCGATTCCCGACTGCCAAGTGGTCCACCTTCCCCATGTCTCATCCTTGTCACTTCTGCTTTAACAAAAAAGTAGTGAGAGAGGAACAAACAGAGCCCAAGCTGGCAGCCAATGATGGCGTGTCACTAGCCAGTTCTGAGACCTTTGGCAAATGATTTACCCATTGACCCAGTTTCCTCCTCTGCTAGTAGAGGAGTCTGGTAGGAAGATGGAACACAGCAAAACTGCTGTGAAAGGTCAAAAATGGTAATGAGAATGAAAGATGTGAAAACCTGACATATTTCACAAATGTGAAGGTGTTTCCCTGATGCCCTTAGTACAACTGGCTGACCTGGTGGATTCCAGCCTCATCCCAGACCAATAGCTCTGCTATTGCTTGGCCTAACGCTCTTCATTATAGTTTGTCTACATCAAGATTTTTCAACCTTGGCACTGACATTTGGTCCCAGAGGTTTCTTTTTGTAAGGGGCTGTCATGTGCATTGTAGGATGGTTAGCAGCATCCCTGGCCTCAGCCCACCATATGCTAGCAGCACCCCTTCTCCCAAACACACATACAGTCATGACAATCTGACAATCAAATAATGCCTCTACATGCTGCCAAATGTCCCGAGATACAGGCTCTAGATCCAGGACTTCATGTTTTTTTCTAGTCAATGGAAAATGTTCAGGGGTTTCTATATATCAGGTTCTAGGCTACCCAGAGTGAATCTGCAGACATTGTTTTCATCCCCAGAGCACTGGTGGAGAAGGGGGCAGGTAGGGAGGGTAGGATGAAGGATAAGTAAACATAAGAGAACAGCAGCAAAACAAGAGACGATTCAGTTGAGCAAGGGTATAATTGTTCCACTGTGTTGTAGCACTTTTAATCTAGAGATCACTTGCCTCAGTCTCCCAAAGACTCCGAATGATTGAGGAAGTCAATGCACAGAGAGGTTGTCACTTGCCACCATGACTTTTCCATAAGGGCTGTAAGTATAAAGAGAGTACACATAGCAAGACATGACTTCATGGCCCATATGAACCTTGAGCTGGGTTGTAGAAGGTACAAATGTTTTGAAATGGGAGGTTTGGAAGGGGGATGCTCCAATATCACTGATTTTCAACTTTTCTGCCACACCTGATGGATAACATCCACCATAACAACATACCCAAGAAGCATACCCGGTTTATAGGTAATCCTCATACCTTCTCCCCAGGAAGGCAAAAAAATAACTTCAGTAGGGGATCCCTGGGTGGCTCGGTGGTTTAGCGCCTGCCTTCGGCCCAGGGCGTGATCCTAGAGACCCGGGACCGAGTCCCTCATTGGGCTCCTTGCGTGGAGCCTGCTTCCCCCTCTGCCTGTGTCTCTGCCTCTCTCTCTCTCTCTCTCTTTCTCAATCTCTCTCTCTCTGTCTCTCATGAATAAATTTTAAAATCTTAAAAAAAATAACTTCAATTCATTGTCACAACTCTTACTAATCACTCGGGATATGTGTGCATGTGTGTGTGTGCATGCACGCACATGCATACCTATATAAATCACTCCAACATGTATATTCACATAGGCACATGGTGTTTTGGGGGTTGCCATGGCATAGGTAAGAGAATTCTACATCCTCTCTTTACCCCCTCTCTCTAGCTCCACCTTTTCTCTCCTGCGCAAGGAAACACAGCAAAACCTACGTGAAAGTACTCTAATTTATCCTCAACCCTCTTGTGACAACTCACACCTAGTCATGCCTTTGCCAGAATGTTGCAACTTCTGGGCTAAATCTCCTGTTCTTTTGTTTTTTAAAGACTTCATTATTTTTTAAGTAGTCCCTACATCCAATGTGGGACTCAAACTCACAACCCCGAGATCCACAGTGGCATGCTCTCCTGAGTTAGCCAGACACCCCTGAATCTCCTGTTCTATGCGGAGCAGACAACAGAAGCCACACATAGGTAGTAGTTGAAATGGTACTTCTCCTTTAAAGCTATCTATCTATTATCTATCTATCTATCTATCTATCTATCTATCTATCTATCTATCTATCATCTGACAGAAAGAGTACAAGCTGGGGGAGCCGCAGGCAGAGGCAGAGGGAGAAGCAGGCTCCCACCCTGAGCAAGGAGCCCAACATGAGGCTTAATCCCAGGACCCCGGGATCATGACCTGAGCTGAAGGCAGATGCTCAACTGACTGAGCCATGCAGGAGCTCTGAAATGGTACTTCTGTGGGGACAACTCTTGGGGCAGCCAACCATTCACATTCCATTTTATGAAACTGGTCATCCCTGGAGTTATTTGACACAGCAGCAAAGGTTATGGGTACTGCTACAGACAGTATATATATTAGGGCATATATTAGGGCATTATATATTAGGGCCAAATTTCAGAAGGCCTCAAAGGCAGGTGGAGGAGTTGACATTGAACCGCATGCTGGGTACAAGGGTGGATTTGACAGTCAGGCAATCTAGGCTTGAATCTCTCTTGTTTCTGTGTGCACTTGACAATTTAGCCTCTCAATCTTCCAGCTTCTTCATCTCTAAAATGGGTGGGAGTGAGGACTGGCTAAAAATGTGTATTGGTTTGTAGAGGGTTTAAGATAGCACCCAACACATGGCAAAAGCAGACACCTAGGCAGATAAATTAACGTTCCAGCTGTGTGAAGTCACAGCTTCCATGCTCTAAGGATAAATTACCTTTCCAAATGAGCCACACATTGAACTATGCCTAAAAGGCAAGTCACCTTTTGAATAATCAGTGAGTCCTAACATTCCACCAGGCATGTATAACAAGAGGCCTTTTACTCATTCCATTCCACTGTTTTAAAGGACGGTGTGTGGTGCGTTTTGACAACTATGCTTTATTTTATTTATTTATTTTTTTGACAACTATGCTTTCTAGGCTTATTCTGCGGCAAGTGCTCTCCTGGGTTCTGTACGTTATTTTACTTTGTTTGATCAGCAAAGGCCTTGGGCTCCAGGCAACGTGATAATTTGAATTGCAAAGGCATGATTTAAGTGCCATGTTTCTTGGCAGAATTCGTGAGTCAGTTCTGCTTCTAAACCTTAGTTTCACTTCTAAAATCCCAAGGCTAATGGATATTAAAAAAATGAGAAGCCAGCAGGGGCAGCTTGTGATGGGTCTTACCCAAGTATAGTGGGAAAGCACCTTGCATGTTGCAGGGTTTGAAGCAAGGATGTTTATGAAATCCAAAATATGTTTTAAAACCATCTCTTGGCTACTTCTAGGAATGCATTCCATAAAATGGCTATGTAAAGCTCTCAGCATGGAAAATACTTCTAAATCTCGTATCCCCAGCCCAGGCTTACACTCTAAGCCAACTGTCTACTTCACACATCCTATTGGTGTTAAAAAGGCATATCTGACTTAACACAGGCAAAGACTTTTGAATATTCATCCATCCATTTCAGAAAATAGTCTATCTACACATTGGCTCAAGTTAAAAAAATTTAGGTGCCATCCTATGTTACCCTTTCCTTCATCACCCACATGCCATCCATCACCAAATGCTGCTAGCTCTCCAAATGAGGAACATCTCCATCACCCCCATCCCGGTGTGGTGCCACAACCATCCTCTGCAGACCTAACTGGCCTTCATCTCCTGATCCACTGGCCACGGAGTTATCTTTAAAAACCAAGTCTGATTATGTCCCTCTAAAATGCATTGTCTTCCCTTTGCTCTTTGGTGTAAATTTCTTACTCTGTGGGGCCCTGCATGATGGGCTCCCATCTCTTTTTCATCTACTCATTGCTTACCAGGCCCAGCCACAATGACATCATTTCTTTTCCAATCTTTGGGTCTCTGTGTCCCTGTGCTCCCTGCTTGGAATACCCACCCCCAGCTCTTGGCATGGCAGTAACTTCTCAATCTTTGGTTCAGAGAAGAGATCCTTGTTTGCTGTGACAAAAGTGGCCTCCCCTGGTTATTTATCGCCCTTTTACTTTCTCTGATATGCTTATCACAATCCAATATTTTGTTTACTTGTTGTAGCAGGTAGACCGTGGTAGGGGAAGCCCATGATTCTGACCTCTAGTATACATGCCTTTGTGTGATCCCTCCTCTCAAGTGTGGCTAAGACCTGTGATTGCTTCTAACCCACAGAATATGGTGGAAGTGACAAGATATATGGGATTACATATACATGATTATACTACATAAGAAAGTAATGTCTGCCTTGCTAAGAGAATTTCTCTCTCGGTGGCTTTAAAGATGCAAGCTGCCAAATGTGGGGTGCCACAAAGCCTACAAGGAACTGGATGCTACCAATGACCATGTGGGCTTGGATGTGAATCCCTCCCCAGTTGAGCCTCAAATGAAAACCCAGCCCCAGCAATACGGCACTTGTAGTCTTGAAAGAACCCAACTAAGCCAGGACTCATCACACACTGAAAATGTGACATAACATATGTTAAGTCTATAGTTTGTGGTAAACTGTTATACAGCAACAGTTAATAGACTTCTTAAGTGATTCTTGTGTTAGAAAATAAACTTCAAGAGGCCAGGGACCTTTTCATTTTTTTATTACTACCCAGCTGGGAGGTAGCATATACAGATGAGAGCAAACATTTACATGAAGAAAAGAAATATTTAATAAATACCAAGTATTAATACTCCATAGACTGGCAGGAACAGGCAGTTCTTGTTCTTTAAGAGGTAAAGCCACCTTTAGGGACAGGCATGGCCTTCATGGGACTTAGAAGTTTCCAGATTAAAGCCTTTATGTCCTACTGATGCAAGTAGCAGGCTTTTATTTTGTCTGCTCAAATATTTCCTCTCCTTCTCATATTCCTTTGGGAGTATGCACCCCACCCCACGTGAAACCAATGGGGTTGACCTATAACATCCCCTAGTTACTAAAGCATTTACTTATGGCCCATCCCTGTTCAATCAGCATAGTCTACCCTCCTGGTCACTGATTGGGTCAGGGTTGTTCACATGACCCAAGTCTGTGCAATCAGTGCCAAAGTCAGAACATCTGCAGGTGCTGGTGGGTGAGGCAGCTTCCTCATCACTGCAGATGCAGAGTACTAACCATGGGACTGACATAAAGCCAGAGCTACTGGGGCCTCCGCATATGCAGGACCTGCCTGGAAAAACAGCTCACACGAAGAAAGCAATGCTGAGGGATGAAGGGAGAGAGATGCCTCAAGATGCCACTTGAGTCTCTGGATCCAGCAGTGCCTGAAAATCTACACCCTGGCTTTTTAATTGAGTGAAATGAACTCCCCTCTTCTGCTCCCTTCCCCCCTTTTTAAAGCCACTTTAGGTGGAGTGTCTTATCATCAGCCCTATTACCTCGGATCTGCCATGAAATCAACAGAGAAGGAAACAGTGGGTCTGATGTCTCGGGGGTGAAGAAAAAAAAAAGCTCATCTAATAAATATTTAATAAAATGCCGCAGACCACTGAAGTAGAAATCCTACTGGATTTTAAAAGCTTGTGTAGTCCTTTAGCATTTTCATTGGACTTTTTATAGAAATGGCTTAAGCTAAGTTCTCTAAACAATACAAAAACTATCAAGTGCAAATTTTTAAGAGTAACAGCACTTAACAGTACTCAACATAGAAACTGTATCTTTAGACTTTTTCAAAAGTGCCCTTGGCTAAAGTTAACTTTGGACTCTGTTTTTTAACCTTGTCTGAGAGGGCATTATTGCCAAATATTGCTGGTTTTTCTGATAAAAAGCTAATAAGGCAGAAGAGATTGCTCTGTTTTGGATTACTTTTCCCCACTTTGCTTCAAATAAGTGAAAAATAAACAGCCCCTCTCCTTTCTGAAGGAAAGAAAAAAAAGAAAAGAAATCCACAGTTACCCCCAAAGTTGGTGCTTGGACACAAGATCTGAGCCTCCAGGGTCAAGCAACCAGGCTGCAGGGGCTCACAACTGGGCCAAGGTCAAGTCTGCACATGGAGGAGGAGTGAAAGGCAGGAAGAACTGCTGAGCCACTGCAGTTCTCAATTAATTCTCATGTGAGGGAAGGCCAGCCAACAGAACCCCAGGACTCATGCAAGCGCAATGAGCTCCCCAAATTGCCCCCCTCCCCCCAAGGATCCTATGCATAAATGAAGAAGTTAGAGGACGCTTCTGAGGAGTGCTTAACCACCTCCCGCCCCCTTCTGAGTCATAATCCCAAGGGCTGAGTATGATCCACAGCCTTCGAGAGGTGCTTGGAAAAAGCTCTGGCTCCGCTGGGCTGGTCATTCCTGGTAGAGCCCCTCTAAGTCTGCGGACTTCATAGCCAGCTGACAGTTGCCACTGGAGTTTTGTTGTATCAAAAGTCTGTTTGGTAACAAGAAGAAATGGTTAGCTCTAGGGCCTCTTTAAAGAGCTTTAATGTTGAGAGTGCACAAAGCTGAATATATGACATTCTTCGTTGGTTTATTTTTAGCTGCTTCTTGCAACCACATCAGATTTAAGGCCACAACTATTTTACAGATGAGGAAACTGAGGGCACAAGAGGCTAAAATAACTGAGTTAGGAATAGGGATTATGGCCCCTTTCCCCATTCTAATTTTGATAATGTATTTTCTCTGTCTGCTATGTCCTCACCACAATCCAGTGATTGTTGGAGTGACCCTATTTTACCAGTGAAGGAAAACTGAGAGCTGAGAAGTTAAGCAACTTTTTCAAGATCACACAGCTAAAAAATGGTAGAGCTGGGATTCAGACCCTTATCTTCTGATTCCAATTAACTGTTTCATGATATCTTCAAAAAAAGGGAGGTGGGGGGGAAAAAGGAAGAAATATTGGTCTTTTTTAGTGTCTGTGATGGTGCGTTTCTGAAGAATGTAAGAAGGTACATAGCATTATTGATATTAACTGGATCTGTGGGTTATCTTTTAATTTCAATTATCTTTGCCAACAATGACACCCCACTGTGTAAAACTATGGCATACACCAGAGTTTGGCTGACCAATGAACATTCCCAAGGTCCTTCTTGCAGGTTTATATGGGAGCTGAGAAAACAGGGCACTGTACCTTCCAGCCTCCCTGACAAGTTAGAGTGGCCAAGTGACACAATTCTAGCCAAGGAAGTCAGCCAGCGGAGGATAGAGAGAGGTCCCAGAAAAAATTTCACTTACTTGATAAAAAGGGTCAGATTCAAGTGGTAAGGGAAAACTCATTTTTTTCCCCCTTCATCTGCCTTGAATGTAGCTGAGTGTAGCCAGAGCCACAGCAGCTTTCTTGTGGCCATGAGGCCACAGGGCTGAGGATGGCAACACCAAAAGACACACAGTGCCCGGTATATAGACGACAGCATGCAATTAGTCAATTTTCATAAGTCAGAATATCTTACAGTTTTATTTACTTTTCTCTTTTTCGTTTTAGTTGCATTATCTTTTAAGGACAAAACCCCATTTGCATCATGGAATAAAGTGTTTAGTTCCTCTTTTCTCCCCCTATGCTTTGGATTGTTTAACAAGATTTCTGGAGTTTAAGAATTCACGAGTGCAAGGGTTTTCAGGTGACAACTATTTTCATAATAATATAACATACTTTGCCATCCACACATTTGTGACCTGGGTCTTCAAAACCCAGCTGACATCTATTGAGGCAGACATTAAAGATATCTGTGAAATGTAAAGCAATGCCACTCATTTTATTTTGTATTGGATTTTATAGTTACATTTCATAAAGATGTTATTTCTATCAAAAACTTGGGAAGACTCAGTAATTTTAAGAAGATAAAATGGGGGGGAAAGAAGGAAAAAAAGAAGATAAAATGGGTCCAGAGAACAAAAAGCTTCAGAACCACAGCCTTAGTGAAAACAATGGGTCCAGCTGCTTTGGTTGGGAGGAGGAAAGGAGTATAAGGAGATCGAGGACAAATCTTAGACATCTTTTTAATATCTTCATTGACAAATAGGTGGTATTCAGATTTTGTTAGTCTCTGTGGGATAGCAGAGCAGGATTCAGAGGCAGGGAGAGATTTTGGCTTAGGAGCATCAGTTTTAATAAGCAAAATTAATAAGCAAAATTTAGGCCAATATTTCTCCTTTTAGCTCCTTTAAGACATATTGTTCAAAACAATTTATAAGAAGCTGAATGTAACTCCACATATATCAACTAGGCAATCCTATGACAACTAGCCCTGACCTATTTTAAATTATAAGCACTTCACATTTTACTTTCTAACACGAGTAACAGGATAACATTTTGGTAAGAAGTTCAAGAGCTACTCTCTAGAAAAACAAAATTCAGGATATTGGTTCTTTTAGAGCAAGGATTGGCAAATTCCTTGGGCCAAATCCAGCCTGCTGTCTGTTGTTGTAAATAATTGGAACACATCCATGCTCACTTGTTTTCTTATTATCTATGTTGCTTTTTGGCTACAGCAGCAGGGTTGAGGATTTGCAATATAGATCACATGGCCCACAAAGTCTAAAATATTTATCATCTGGCCCCTTACAGAAATTATCTGCTGACTCCTATTTTGGAGTCATTTGGTACCTTGGTTAAGACACTTTGGAGTTCACTGACCTCCGTGTACGTCCTTTCTTTGCCACATTTTGCTTTGGGACTTGGTTTCATTTCCCTTGTCACAGAATGGAGCTAGGACCTGCCTCATAGGGTGGTTGTGAGGATTACATGAGCTAAAGGCCTGGAAAATGCATTAACAGAGTGCCTGGCACAGAACAAGTACTTGATGGGTTTTAGCCACTATCATCAATTAAGCAAGAGCCTAAAGGAAGCATAATGGAGTCACATTCCACTTGAGACTTAGATTCTAAATTCGACAAAGAGAAAAAGATAAAAATCAAGCATTTAAAAAAATCATCTCTAAAAATCCCTTAGGAGGGCGGCTCATTATAGACAAACACATGGTCTTAAAGTAATTCTGACACAGCTGGTTTTCCCTCCAGCATTTAAACAGATCACTGTTCCTTCAGCTGAGGCTCCAGCCAAAGTGTAGCTGGCATTTAGGAACCATATTGTAGAACAAAATCCATACCGTCAAACGGTATGGATTCACACTCAGTATGGTGAGACACACCCTGAAGAGCAAAGATGATGGAAACAGACCTTGGTAAATAGCAGGTTCATGGGCCCCTGTATCATCTGGAGATGCGTGCATGTGGAGTAGAATGGTAGCTCATTATTCTTGTTGCCTCCCCACAAAAAACATTGTATTTTGAATCTGTGTAAATGTAACATCATTGCCATGACAACAAAATGAGTAATTGGGTGTGGTGGATGATGACAGCAATTTTGTTTGAAACTCCATTGTAAATTCTCATTTGATACCTGATGTGTGTGGGAAACGATAAGGAACACCTGCCTCTCACAATTTTACTTCTAGACATCCAACTAGCATTAGGGTAATATTAGTGAAAATCCTCCAAATGGTAAAAATTAAATTACTGAATTAACATGTATTTACCTGGAAGGAAACCAGTAGTTGACAAGGCTGGAGACCACAATGTAGGACACTATGATTGTCCCTGACATGACGAGTGATACAAAGCTCAAACCACAGAGGACACACAGCAGTGAGAGGCCGCCCACAGAGATGACCAGTCCTAGAGGAGAGCATAGTTACAGGAAGCATTCAGCTAAAACAAGTTGAAAGCTGCCAGACCCCAGGCCACTGTGTTTGTGACACTTAATTCAGATTTCTTAAGTGAGATTTCCCATAAATATCCAAATTTCCAGCATCACTTAAAAAGGAGGTAATCTAACCACCCGAGTGGGCCTCACTGCAAGGCAAACATCCTCTTGCCTTGGGAGGGGTCAAATAGCTCAGAACTCCATCCTTTTGGCTACAGTGATATAATTTCAGGGATAAACCCTAAAAGGAAGTAAACCAGAGAATATAAATGCTGCTTTTTTTACAAAGATTTACAAAATCATGGGCCAGTGTTTTTCAAAGTGTGGCTGACAACCACTGTTATCAGAATCAGATGCCTCTGGAAGGCTTGTGAGAAAACTGATTTCTGGACCCCACTCCAGAACTACTCATTAACAATCTCTGAATGAGGCCTAAAAGTCTGCATTTTCAAAAAACAAGACTTATGCACACTCAAGTTCCAGGCTTCTGTTCTAAAGGCTGTGTATGTTAGAAAAATCTTTCCTTCCCCAAAGGAAACAGAAATTGTTCCATGTCTTTAAATCCTGTCCTCTGTAAAGCTTTGCATGACACCACCAAAAGTGGCTCCCTTCTTCTAAATTTACTTTTGCTATATTACTCATTCATTCCTCCACCCATTCTTATATCCATCCATCTCCATCAATATTTACTCAACAGCTACTCTGCCTAGCTGTATTCTGCTCATCTGCCTAGGATGCCTACCAACTCCTTCAGTGATAAATTGCCTTATCCATAGGGATTTGCCTATCCCCTGGGGAAGGAAGCAACTCTGGGTGCTCTTAGCTCTAGAAAGCCATAGGATAAACCAGAGCTGACTGCCTGACCCAATGGCAACCAGCTCTATGGCCAGCATCCTGTAGTTTGTAATCTGATATGAAAAGGTAAACTGGGATGCCTGGATGGCTCAGTGCTTGAGTGTCTGCCTCTGGCTCAGGTCATGATCCCAGAGTCCTGGGATCGAGTCCCACATCTGGCTTCCAACAGGGAGCCTGCTTCTCTCTCTGCCTGTGTCTCTGCCTCTGTGTGTCTCTCATGAATTAATAAAATCTTTTTTAAAAAAAAAAAAGGTAAACTAATCCAATCAGATCTGCCTTCTCAGTAATTTTATCTTAGCAACAAAGGGAGAAGGTGATAGTTGGCAGTGTGACTTCAGGAGGAAAGGTGGAGAAGGAGGAACACTAGTACTTAGCCAGGCACCTGGCATGCAACAGGTGTTCAATAACGAGCTGTGGAATAATTGGATTCTGTTACCATTCATGCAGAAGCCACTCTGTGCCCATATTTTATGGGGCTCTAAGTTTCAATCCTTACAACAACCTTTTGAGACAGTATTATTATTTCCCCAGTTTACATATGAGGAGCTTACAGCTCAGAGAGGGTAAATAACTTGTCCAAAACCACATTGGTGGAGATTTTAATGTGGACTCCACAAAGTCCATCTTTTAACTATTCTGACAATCTGCCTTGGTCACTGTGATCTTTTCAAGAACAGGTGCATTTGATAAGAGTGGCAGGTACTCAATAAATACTGTGCTCCCAACTGAATCATTTTCCAAGGGAGTGAAGATGAGCAGGATACCTTCCAGTAAAATGACCCCCACGAAAGCAGCCAGGGAGGTAAGCACCACGATGAGGAGGAAGAACCCAACAGGAACGGCTGACATGGCAACAAACACCAGCACACTGAGGGCCAGAAAAGGATGCTTGTCCAGGTATTGACCCACCAGAGACTTCATAAAGGCAACCACCTGTAGGCAAAAAAGAACCAGCCAGGATTGAATGTCATATCCGAAACGCCAGGTTGATGGATCCACTTGAGCTGCAGTATAACCAGAGGCTGTCAAGTTGGATGGCTTGTAAGAAACATAACAAGTCAACACTAACAATCCTCCCAAGACATGAGTCACCCTGACAATAATGTAAGGCAGCTGTAGACAGGTGGCAAATTTGAAGGTCCCACCCAACCTCAAGTTTTTGACAGGAGGAAAGACCTGGTCATGGCTCTACAACTTAACACACACCTCCTCAAGAGACCCTCAGCATGTGTGTGCATGGATGTAATGTACACAATTTATCTCCTACTTCACAACTGAGGTTTCATACTTGAGGCCACTGAGGCACAGAGATGTTAAGTCTGAGCTACTTGGCATCACCCGGGAGCTTGTTAGAACTACAGTAGCTCAAGCCCTGCCCCAGACCTGCTAAATCAGATGCTGGTTTTTAATGAGATTCCCAGGTGACTTGGACATGCATTAAAGTCTGAGAGGCAATGGGACTTCCCTAGAGTCACAGTTTCCAAGTGGCAAAATCTAGGCATTTGAAGCTGAATCTTTTCACTCTAAATGTCAAATGCTTGCAATTGCTGCCACCTTGTCAGGAAAAAATGCTTTTATGTCACCATGGATACCACAGTCAGGCCATAGCTCCAGGACTACTGTCAGCTTATGCTATGTTAATCAACAAGCTATCCTCACTCATCAGGCAAAAGAGTTTCTGGATCTGGCTCAGTGGGGGAGGGCTGCTTTAATGCAGAGCTGGCCCTAGAAATTCCAGGAGGATGGGCTTCCCCCTCTCATTAAGCCCCATTCTCTCTTGCCTCACTACTGACATGTTAGTTCCCTTTAAAGTTTCCATCAATACAGAACTTTTCCTCATCAAAACCTTCCCAGGTCTCATTCCTTAAGGCCTTATAGGCCAGCAGCTGAAATGAAGAGGAAAATCAAGCTACAGTGATCATAGGAACAGCTAGATAAAATAGGTGCCTCCTCATGACTCCAGTGGTGGGAATCTGTGGACAAGCAGGAAGACAGGAGGGTTTTGTAGTTCAAGATGATGGTGATCAAAGTGCAGGGTTCATATTGCTTAACCAGAAAGGGCTGTCTATTTCAAGAAAACCTGCCATTGGTTCTAGGGTTTCAGGGTTGCCTCCTTAGGAGAATCTCTAGGCATGACCAAGTTCACTTCCAGTCAGGCCACAAAACATGCCACAATGCCCACTGGCTATACTGACTCTAGCTACTCCTATTGGAGAAAAGCTACCAGACTTGGCTATTCAACTTCTCTAGCCAGAGATGACTATACTAGGAATGCCAAGCTCTGATAATCAGAACCCAGTAAGACTCTCCTGTTAAGGTAGTTAAAGATGAGAGAAGAGGGGTCACAGGAGTGGGGCTGGTCCCTGGAGCTATCTTGATTGCTGTCCAGCTCTAGTCCACGTGTTTTCTTAGTAAAACCACCCAGGCATCGTCTGAACTATTCTCTAGGATCCTTTGAATTAAGAGACCTAGTAACTGCAGAGGGGAGCAGATGAGGCTTGAACGCTAGAAGGCCAGACTTAGGAGTTTACACACAGACCATTCAGCACAGTAGCCCCTATGGCCACTGCACACCTGAAATGTCTAGTATGACTGGTGAACTACATTCTTAATTTGAATTTAAAAACTGATATATGTTGCAATCACTGGAATATTTTTAATTACATTTCAAATAAGGTATATTACTAATAAATTTTTCAAACATACAGTTTATCAAATCTGAATAGAGATCAAGTGCTTTCAGTGGAAACTTAGTATCAGAATTGAGACATGCACTAAGTGTATTAAAACATGTAAACTGGGCAGCCCCGGTGGCCCAGCGGTTTAGTGCCGCCTGCAGCCCAGGGCGTGATCCTGGAGACCCTGAATGAGTCCCACGTCGGGCTCTCTGCATGGAGCCTGCTTCTCCCTCTGCCTGTGTCTCTGCCTCTCTCTCTCTCTCTCTCTCTCTCTCTGCATCTCTATGAATAAATAAATAAAATCTTTAAAAAAAAAACATGTAAACTAACTAATCACTAATTTTTTATATTATTACAAGTTGAAATTGTATTATTTTAGATATACTGGGTTATATAAAATATATTACTAAAATTAATTTCACATCTCTTTAATGCTTTTTAATATGACTACTAGCAAATTTTAAATTCTATACAAGGGTTGCATAATATTTCCCTTGTAAAGCACTCGTTTAAACTTTATCTAGAAAAAAACAGGAAGCAAACTGCTGGCACTTGAACAGGACTATGATATAATCAAAGGGCCAATTTAAGAAATATGAACCCAGCAGTTATGTGCAAAAAGCAATTATGAGGATTTGCAGGAAGTCAGGCAGGAGACACTGATGGTGAAATGATGGTAATACAAAAGTGGAATGACAAAGGAAAAATCAATAGGACTTGGGGACAGTATGGCATGGGATCCAAAAGGAGAAAACCAAGACTGTACTTCTTCCAGACCCTAGGGAATCTATTTTTCTCTTAACCTGTTCTGAGTCTGGGCCCTACAATCAAAAAATAGAAAGTCATTCAGATATGCAGAGAGACCATTTAAGATGTAGTTAAGTCCAGCAATTATCTTCCCACAGGAAGGATGGCCCTGCTCAGGCCAGTCTGTCACAGAAGGGGAGGATATGATTCAGTCACACCTAATAACAGAGGACATTCATTAAACACTCAGGGGCCAAGCACTGTTTTAAATCATTTCAGTGTATTTCCTCATTTATTTCTCCCTTCAATGCTCAGAGGCAGATAACGAGGAACATTATTTAAATCCAGGGAATTAGAGCATAGCAATTAATTTCTCATTCTCATGGCAACAGGTAGGGATACAATGGGAGGATGGAAAGTGGGACAGCTTATTACTCAGTAACATGAACTGCAATTTTCCATTCCTATCCTGGAAATAGGCACAGGTCATCTGAACTGGGTTTTACAGGCAGGGTGCTGTGCTGAAGAACTCAGGAACACCAACCAGCCTGGGACAGGCTAGCACCATTAGGAGCCAGGCTCTGTGCTATAGCCTTCTTGAGCCACTTCTGAGATTATTCTCATAACAAACCAATGAGCCTGGCATTGCTTATTTTAGAGAAGGGGTGATAGAGATTCAATGTCCTAAGCAACTCCACCCAAGGTCAGACAAAGGCAATTTATTTTAAAATGCACAAGAGTATGGTAGGTTCCAAAGTAATGCAGCCAGTATTTAAGGACAGAAAGGCTCCATCTGAAACTATTCAGGAGACAAGGCAATTCCCTGGTATCAGAATGCAAAAGACCCTTGCTACCAGAAGAGAGAAGGATGGAGGCATCAGGATTATTTAAAATCACTGGTAATGATGGCAAGTCCAAAGTTTCCATATACTTTGAAATGTCTACCTCAGAATGTAGACATGAACATTAAATAAGACATGCCAAAGGCCTAACACATGCTTGGCATATAGAAAGCAATCAGGGTTAATCAATTTACCATCAATCTCTATTATTTGCAGGTTCTATATTTGCAAATTCACCTACTCACCAAAATTTGTGACCCCAAAATTCACATTTGTGGTGCTTTCGAGAATATGTATAGAGCATAGAAAAATTTAAGTCACCTGACACATGTTCCCAGCTGAGGTCAAACTAGGCAATGCTCTTATTTCAGCTCTTTAAACAACTGTCCTTCCAAGGTATATTTAGTACCACTTTTCCTCACATTTCATTTTTTTTTTATTGGTAATTTCACCATTTAAAATGCAAGAAGTGGGATCCCTGGGTGGCGCAGCGGTTTGGCGCCTGCCTTTGGCCCAGGGCGCGATCCTGGAGACCCGGGATCGAGTCCCACGTCGGGCTCCCGGTGCATGGAGCCTGCTTCTCCCTCTGCCTGTGTCTCTGCTCTCTCTCTCTCTCTCTCTCTCTCTCTCTCTCTCTCTGTAACTATCATAAATAAATAAAAATTTAAAAAAAAAATAAATAAAATAAAATAAAATGCAAGAAGTGGGACGCCTGGGTGGCTCCGCAGTTGGGTCCCTGCCTTCAACTCAGGTCATGATCCCAGGATCTGGGATTGAGTCCCGCATCGGGTTCATCAGGCTTAAGGACAGAGGAGCCTGCTTTTCCCTCTGCCTATGTCTCTGCCTTCCTCTCTCAGTCTGTGTCTCTCATGAATAAATAAATAAATCTTTAAAAAAAATTAAAAAATTAAATGCAAGAAGTACACTCTAGTGTTCTTAAGTGTAAGAAGGGTAGGGATCCACCTTAAGAGAAAATGTGTTAGATAAGCTTCATTCAGGCAAGAGCTATAGTGCTATTGGCCATGAGTTTAACATTAATGAACCAACAACATATACTAAATAAGTTGTCTTTAAGCATAAATGCACAAACAACAGTTTATATATTTATCAGTTGATGAAAATGTTGTGACTAGAAATTTGCCAGAATCTAATCTTATAGGTCCCCTAGGAGAAATTGCTCAGTAGTTGCTATTTTGTTGTTTGAGGTGACTTCATAGAACATAACTAACACATATAATAAGAACCAAATGCACATGTAGGATGAGTAGGAGGGCCTTTCTTACTAAGCTAACTTTTAATAACAAGAGTCTCAGCCTGTTGACTAGAAAGCTGCTTGGCCAATTTAAAAATAGCTTGCTAAATTCACAAAGAGGGCCAGAGGCATTTTGGGATGAGTCCAGGAAAGATCTCTATAGAGTATATTGCTCTAGACTGCAAAGTGGTGTCTTCAAATATACCCAAGGGGAACCGTGCTGTCTAATACAAAAAACAGATCACAAACCAGTTCATTTTGTTACATACACATATGTATTTTATGAGTATATTGTATAGGAAAAAACGTCTAGAGGGAAAACAGCAAAATGTTAATATTATCTCTGAGAGCTGTTATTTTCCCTGACAAAATGCTGAATGACTTATAGAAGAAAGAAAAAAATTCAAGAAAGCAGAATATACTATCTCAAGCCCCATTGCCACCAAATGGCTACTAAACACTTGAAAAGTGGCTAATTCAAATGGAAATGTTCTATTAAGTGTTAATAAAATACACACTAGGATTTTGAAGACTTACTACAAAAAAGAATGCAGAACATCTTCATACTATTTTCATTAATAACTTTTTATGATTACATATTAAAATATTTAGATATATAAATAAAATACATTATTAAAATTAATGTCACCCACTTTTTACATTTTAAATGTGGCTACTAGAAAATTTTTAAATTATCTATGTGGCTCATATCATACTTCTATTGGACACTAGGTTTCTCGGAGAAAACTGGACTCAAATCTTAAAGTAGGGGACGCCTGGGTGGCTCAGCAGTTGAGCAGACTAAATTAGACATGGCTCATTAAGACTTTCTTCCCTTCCTCCTCCATTCTTATTGCCTGGAATGTGAATATAATGGCTAATGCTTTAGCAGCCATCTTGGACAATGAGTTTGAAGATCACAATTTACACAAGGCAAAGTGGTGAATTACAGAGATTCCTGATCTACCTCCAAATTTCTTCTACTTCAGAGAGAATAACTTTCATGGTGTTTAAGCTGCTGTTATTTGGGGATTTTCCATTACACAGTCTGATTGTAAACTGACCTTTGAGTTATTCTGGATGGACTCTACCAGCAAAGACAGCTTCTTCTGCAGCTCCTGCAAGTCCTTTGAGGTACTCGGAGGATCCTCTTTTGCCATCCTGAAACCAATGCCCAGTCTCTTTAGAGATCAATTCTTCTACCAGTAAGCTGTCCCGGGCAGGGCACAGTTGAATCTCTCATGTCACCCAGTCTCTTGCTGTCACTGGTGAAACAAAAAGAATCTTGAACCATTAGTAATATTCACCTAGCTAGTTCAACAAAAGCTTCTACTATCCTCACACATTGATGGTAGGTGTGCAGGTGAAGGGTAGCTTGGCAATATCAGAATTTCTTTTTTTTTTAATAAATTAATTTTTATTGTTCAATTTACCAACATACAGAATAACACCCAGTGCTCATCCCGTCAAGTGTCCCCCTCAGTGCCCGTCACCCATTCACCCCCACCCCCCGCCCTCCTCCCCTTCCACCACCCCTAGTTTGTTTCCCCAGAGTTAGGAGTCTTTATGTTCTGTGTCCCTTTCTGAATATCAGAATTTTTAAGTGCACATACCTTCAACAATATATTTTTCAGTAATCTGAAGGAAATAATCAAATAGGTGTATCAAAACATACAAAAAGGATGTACAGTGCAATTCTATGTGTAATATATAATAAACAGCAAAACACTGGAAAGAAGCTGTGTATCAGTAGGAAATTGGTTAAATAATAAGTTCATAAAATGTAGTATTACATAGTTGTTGAAATGATAATGTGGACGTCTAGTTAGTGACATGAAAACACATTCATAAGTGAAAAAAATTTTTAAGATATCCTATATTGTTACATAAATATATGTATTTTATGTCTATATTCCATAGTAAAATAAAAGACCTAGAAGGATATAGATCATATAATACCTAAATGTTAATGGTATTATCTCTGGGGGCTTATTTTTTCAGTCTGACAAACTGCTACAAAGAATATAGAAGCAAGAAAGCTGAATACACTATTTCAAGCCCCTCACTGCCTTCCCCCCCACCCAAAACCTTTAACAGTGATGGTGGTCAACTTCTTTATTGACTACCCACACTAAACAGGTTGGCTTCCAACCTTATAGCACCATAAATCATTCTCTGTTGACTTGTTAAGTGTCCTCTTAACAGGAGAGGTGTCTCAAGGGCAGACCTGGCCACAATTATACACTGTGACTCAACAGCCTTTAATTTCCAGGACTGTCCTAAGTCATGTGACTATAAAACCAATTTGTTTAAGATCTTTTTCAACCCTTGTTGGATTTTAAATATCAACAAATATATCATTCTCATTTTTTATTTCCCAGAACTGTAGGGCTAGACACAATTTCACCCTTATAAATGACCTCCTTACTACTGATAGTAAAAAGAAAAAAAAGGGATGCCTGGGTGGTTCAGAGGTTGAGAACCTGCCTTCAGCCAAGCAAGTGATCCTGGAGTTCCAGGATCGAGTCCCATACCAGGCTCCCTGCATGGAGCCTGCTTCTGCCCCCTCTGCCTGTGTCTCTGCCTCTGTCTCTCATGAATAAATAAAATCTTAAAAAAAAAAAAAAAAGAGCCTCAAGGATTCTGTTATAGTGATCAAAATTAACTAAGTGATGCTGACACCTGTTTACCATATTGACTTATACCACACAGTAATTATGTGAGTTAAGGGGAGAAAGTTACTTTACCAATACCTAGAGGGTCTAAAATGCAACTTAAAGCACGTTTTCGTCACTCCAGCTAGAGAGCCTTTCCTACAGCTCCGTTTGTGAAACCGGAAACCTTTGGATCTTTGAAGATCCAACTGGCACACATCTCGTATTTGGGATGTTCCCAGGACTCAGCTCTCCTACTCTCATCTCTGCAGCAGACAGAAACAAGCCCAGCTCCCATTACCGGTCTCCAGAGGTCTAGGGAACCCAAGGGCCACCCAGACCGGTTTGGGGAGTCCGATGGTAACGAGCATGGGTAGAATGTCATGGGCCACAGCCATCAAATACATCCACCTGGCTTCCAATCCCCAGCCACTCACTCTACAGAGGGAACCCAGGCACTGAGAAGTCTCTGGAGCGGAGGGCAACCTGGGATCCCCAGCGCAGCTCACAAGTTCCTTGCCTTCTCCCGGGCCCTCCAGGCTGACCCAAAAGACCACTGGCCAATCCGCCCCGCGGCTCTTGCATTCCAGCCCCTCCCAGAGCTAACGGCCAACCCCAGCGTTTCAACTGGAAGGGAGAGGGGGTGCATCTCCGGTTGGGGGAAAGGAAAGCTGGGCGCCTCGGGCCGCCCCCTCCCCATCTGCTTACAGTGGGTCAGACTTCGAAGACGCTAGGTGGAGCAGGCGCCCAGCTTCTAGGGATCCTTGCGCAGAGGGGAAGAGAAAGGAAGGCAGGTGCAGAGGGGGAGGGCCCGCACTCGAGAGAGCACAGAGGCTAAGTAAGGGGGGTTCACGGGGGAGTGGAGTACCCGGTCATTAATTTGGGGGAGAAGAATCCACCTTTGTTACCTGGAGAGCCCCTCTCTGCGGTGTCGGTAGAGAAGAGAGACCTGCGGGAAGGAGGGCACCCATATTCATGAATCTCGGGGAGAGGGTTTGGAGACTCCCCCGCCAGGTTTCCCAAGAAGGGACAAGGTCTCGGGGGGTGGGGTGGGATGGCGCTGGCAACCCTTTTACCAAATCTAGTGGTGGGTGTGAAGAAGTGCGTGTGTTCCCAGCCCGTCTTGGGGGCTCCGAGGGGTGAGACATTCCTTTTCACTAAACTGCGGACAGCGCAGGAGACCCTCTCAACCCATGCCCCTGAGCCGCTTCGTATGCCCCTCCCCGCGAGGTGACCTAGCCAGCCCGGGCACGTTGCACCCTAGCATCCGAGATGCCAGTCTCACCGGTCCTGGCGGCCGCGCTGTCCAGCCAGGGTCTGCAGGCGGAGGCACAGAAGCAGGGTGGGGGGAGGAGGAAGAGGAGCAGGGAGAGACGTTAGAGGGAGGAACTCTAGCGCGCACAGGCGGGAGCTGGCGCCTGTTTCCTGCCCTACCGAGGCCGCCGCCGTCCTCCGCCCTCGCCCCGCCCCCTCACGTCCCTCGCCCCGCCCCCTCCACCGCCCGGACCCCGCCCCCTCCGACGCTCTCACCCTTCGGCCGCTCTCGCCCCGCCCCTCCCCCCGCCCCTCAGGGCTCGGCTCTCCCCGCCCACCTCCAGAGGAAGCCCGCGAAGCTTCCGCGAGGCCTCCGGCCGCGAGCTCCACACAGCGCGCTCTCCGCCTCAGCATTTTAGAACAAGCCTGACAGGCCCTCAGTAATTTACAGCTGAGGAAAATGAGGCCTGCCCTACACTCTCGGCTTGAAGGGAGCGTGCACAGGCCACCGCCGAGACAGGTGCACTTGGCTTCTGAGCACGGTTTGCACAGCGTCTTAGGGCGTCCCCTGCCTAAATACCTACACCTGAACCACCTCTCCTGGAAGCAATCCTGGAGGCCAGGACATCCAGCGATGAGGTACGGCCTGACTGGCAAGTTTTAGCTACTACGACTCACGCAGGTGCCACGAACCAGCGAGAGCCGTAAAGATGAGTTAGGTTATCATTTCCACGTTTTATAATTGAAAAAGTCTAAACCCAAGGCCCTTGGTTCCACGTCAGAGCCAGGCACATGTTCCCTGGCCCCAAATCCTGGCCCATAGAGCTGGGTTTCTCCAAGGGCAGCGCTATTGACATTTTGGGCAGGAAAATTTTGTATTGAGGGGGCATCCTTGTGCTGACTTTTTATCAGTGTCCCTGGCCTCGACCCACTAGATGCCAGTAGTAATCCCCTTCCTCCCAGTTGTGACAACCAAAAAAATATCCCCAAACATTGCCAAATATCCTGTGACGGGCACAGTTTCTGTTAAGAACCACTGCCATAGAGGTACTGGTAAAGACCAGGGTCTGAGGGAGGGGGCTCCGACAGTCCTGGGCTCTCATCTCAGGGCTGGCTCTTACCGTGTGACCTTGGGTGAGTGACCTCTCTGGGCCTGGGCTTCATCTGTAAAATGACAGGCCTGAGCTTTGGCCTGCTACTGCAGAGTTCTCAGGCCTTTTCCATCCAGGGACCTAGATGGACCTTCCTTTCCTCTGTGACCTGCGGCAATAGCAGCCTGGGAAACAGTCACAGGGTTTTAGTGAGGTCAGGTGCAAGAAGAGCTGTAAAGAAGTTAGTACCTATCTGGAGTATAGGAGGAACTCAAAAAGATTCGATGGTACAGTCTTCTACCAAATAATATCTCTAGAAATAAACAGGCTGGTGGGTAAAGAAATAAACGTGGGGGCAATAATGATAAAAAGAAGCTACAGGATCCCATCTAACTTCACAACAGCCAAGAAAAGGGCAGCTAATGGTGGAAATAGGACATGGACAGGTAAGTATCCCTAAATTCTTAAGTTTCAGGCAATCCTACGTGACTTCATGCACTTTGTTCTGCTGCAGTATGGTGGATGCCCCACCTAAGAAAATGTTGACTTTTTTTTTTTTTTTCCTTTAGAACAAAACATTACAACTGTCTGTCATTCCCTGGTGGGCATTGCTTTGAAAAGCTGAATTGGGGCCTTCCTTGGGATTTTTGTTCAAGGGTGCCATCTAGGGGTGCCTTTGTGAATCCTCTAATTTCCCTGACCACAGACCTCTGTCATTGTAGGGACAGCCAGATTTTGCTTTTTCCTTGTGTGTTGGCTGCCTTCTCCATATTATGTATTTCCGGATGGCTGGGATCTTAGCTGTCTCCATATCATTAGGACTTGGCTCATGACGACTATTGATGGGTCAGTAAAATAAAGCTATGTACAGCCTCTTCTATGCTCTTCAAAGCTAACTTACTCTGGCTGAGCCCGTTTCTGAGACCATTTCAGGTCTTAGAAAAGACCTGCAAGGGACACCTGGATGGCTCAGCAGCTGAGCATCTGCCTTTGGCTCTGGTCTTGATCCTGGTCCAGGAGTCAAGTCCCACATTGGGCTCCCTGCGAGAAGCCTGCTTCTCCCTCTGCCTGTCTCTGCCTCTGTGTGTCTCTCATGAATAAATAAATAAAAATCTAAAAAAAAAAAAAAAAAGAAAGAAAGAAAGAAAGAAAGACAGACAGACAGACCTGCCAGGGGGCTCTGAATAAGAAATGTGTGAAAATTTCCCAGCCACACATTTAAACCCTAAGCTGTTAATATTACAGAAATGGGAGCAACCCAGACTCTAGCTGACCTCTTCTCCCCAAATTGCCAGATTTAGCAAATAAAAATCCAGGACACTCAATTTAAAGTGGAGATAACTTTTTAATATAACTATGTCCCAAATAGTGAATACTTAAATTTAAAAAAATTGTTTGTTGTTTACCTGAAATTCTAATTTTACTGGGCATCCTGTGTTTTATCTGGCAACCCTGTGTACTTGGAGTTGAAGGATTGAAGGACTTGAAGCCTGCATCCGTCTTGGGAATTATCAAACAGAAAGTTAAGTCAGGTGATTCTGGTGCAGATAAGGTGGCCAGGGGTGGGAGTGGGGGGACATGTATTTTCATTCTCCTTAGTAGATATCTTGTTTACTTTCAGTCTTTCTTTAGACCATATGTAGATTTTTGGTTAAAGCTAGGGAACATATTCCATAGCCAGCCAGGTTGAAATCCCAACTTTGGCACTGACCGAGCCCAGTGACTGTGTCTGTTTCTTCAGCATAAAATTTGGGATAATAATTGTATTCATTTTCTGGGTTGTTGAGTAGATTTGGAAAGATGATGCTCATTAAGTGCTTAGCACAGTGCCAGCAGATAGTATAGCTCAATATGAAAGCCATAATCATTGTTTTGATGTTTTTGAACATAGGTAGACTCATAGTACACCATCTTTCAATGGAAGCATGTCTCCTATTCACCCACAGGGTCATGAAGCTCATTAGCATCCTACCAGTTCCTTTCTACTAATTCACTTTGTTGAATTACAGCTGCTGGGTTTTATGGGACATTAGGCTTCATGCCCCATTATAGGAGGTCTGGTAATAACCTCATTTCTGTCTAAACCAAAGTTTCAAACCCTGTCACTCATTCATTTATTCCAGATACTATTTGAAACTGTATTTATTGTGGCATCTAAATGTGGTTATCTGTCTGATTGGATAGAGGCCCCCAAATGTGGGGTGACTATCCTGTGGAAGCCAGTGGTACAGGCCTTGAAAGGATTCACTTGAGGCAGAAAAAAGGAGACAGAACTTGAGAGGTGGGCAGGACATCAAAATAGAGGCTGTCTGCAATGAAGCAGTGGGTGGGGGCTGTTTTTAAAGAGGGAAGGTGAGGAGGTATGGGGATGCACCGAATTCTACCTTTTTCAGTATCTGTGCCTGGTTGTAAGTAGCCCATTGGTCACTTAGGGCCTGTGGATATTTTGAGGTAGGTTACCTGATGGGCCTATGTGTACTCAGCCAGGGGGTCACTGTGAGCCCTGTCTACAGTCCATTGGTCAAGCATATTTGCCCAAAAGCAACCTCTACATATATGCCTGATGATAGAGAGTACAAATATAAGAGATGAGGAACCACAAAGTTATTTGAAAGTATGGAGAGCCCAAAGTTAAGGAAAAAGTAAGAAAAAGGAGAAATGGAAATACTTTGTGCTGTGCAGTGCTTATGGTAAGGATCTCAGAAGTGTTTGTGTTCTGAACAGGTCCTTTGTGGAAAGAGTACTGGACCCTGGGGATCATAAAGACAGGCTTCAACTTGTATCACTGCTTCTTATGAGTCACATCAACTTGAGAAAGTCATATATGTTTCTCAGTTTTCATTTTCTCATCCATAAAATGGGAACAACATGGGAGGTTTGGGGAAAATTGAATAAAAAAAACAGATATGCAAGCATGGCACCCCAAAAGAGCTCAATAAGTCTAACTTGGTTTTGACAGAACCTTTAAAAGTAACCAAGTGGGGCAACCCAGGTGGCTCAGCGGTTTGACACCGCCTTCAGCCCAAGGTGTGGTCCTGGAGACCGGGGATCGAGTCCCACGCCAGGCTCTCTGCATGGAATGGAGTCTGCTTCTCCCTCTGCCTGTGTCTGTGCCTCTTTCTCTGTCTCTCATGAATAAATAAATAAAATTTAAAAAAAAAAAAGAAAAGTAGCTGTTGTATTGCCATTAATGAAGAGAGAAATGTGGAGAGGTGGGTGGGGGGATGAGGCAACTAGGTGATGGGCAATAAGGAGAGCATGTGATATAGTGAGCACTGGGTGTTATATGCAACTCATGAATCACTGAACTCTATCTCTGAATTTAATAATACATTATATGTTAATTGATTTTAGATTTAAGGGCATCTGGGTGACTCAGTCGGTTAAGTGTCTAGTCTACCTTCAGCTCAAATCATAATCTGAGTCTGGGGATGGAGCCCCGTGTCAGGCTCCCTGCTTGGTGGGAGTCTGCTTCTCCCTTTCCCTCTGCCTCTACCCCTCTTGCTCTCTCTCTCTCTCTCTCTCTCTCACTATCACTCTCTCTTCTCTCTCTCTTTCAAATAAATAAAATCTTTTAAAATTTTTAATTTAAATTAAAAACATTTTTTAATAAAAATAAAAAATAAAATAAAAAGGACACTTAAAGAGATTTAGCAACTTGCTCAAGCCACAAGCTAATTAATGGGAAGGGTGGGATCAGAACCCAGCTGTGTCCAGCCCAAGAATTTAACCACCATGCTATTTGCATTTAGACTTTACCAAAGGCACCATCTTTTATTGCCACTCACCTCTACATTCCCGGATCACTGCTAAGCACCCTCTCATCTTCTCTTCTGTCATCAGCAATTTCTGCTGCTCAGCCAGGCCTCCAGCAAAGGAAGACACTAGCTGAGTCAAGCCCCGTCTTGTATCTTGTATCTGGGCGCAGCTGAGGCCCCTCCTTCCTTAGCAACAGACGCTGAAGCCTGGTTACAGGCCCCAGGGCTTGGAGCACGCAAGTACCTCCAATGTTAAAAAGAGCCCAAAGAGGAGGAGAAAGAAGAGTTTAGGCTGCTGGGGTATTGTTTAGTGGGGTGTTTCTTCCCTCTTCTCTG